TTGAAAAAAACTGCATGCTATTCCGACTTCAAACGAATTAAATATGCATGTTTTAAATCTATCACGAAATACAAAGAAAGCTGAAAAACATAAAATTTTCAGCTTTGATATCCCGACTTTGAGAGACTATAAGTCAATGAATAAACACCAAAAAATAACAAAATTATAGTCTAAAATCATATACAAACTATAAACTACACTCTGGAAAAAACCTCATGTCAATCCGATTTCAAACAAATGAGATATGCATATTTTAAAACTATCACAGAATATAAAAAAAAGCTGAAAAACATAAAATTTCCAGCTTTGATATCCCGACTTTGAGAGACTATAAGTCAATGAATATAAACCCAAAAATGACAAAATTATAGTCTAAAATCATGTAAAAACTATGAACTATACTATGGAAAAAACCTCATGCCAATCCGACTTCAAACGAATGAGATATGCATGTTTTAAACTTTCCATAGAAACCGGTTCCGGCCCCTAAAATCGGTTTCGGTTCCTAACACGGTTCCGGTTCTTAAACCCGGTTTACCCGGACCCGAAGGACCCGAAACCCGGATTACCCGGAACCCGGATAGAGCCATTCTTTAAACCCGGGACCCGGACCGGTTTTACATATTCCGGTTCTAACGGTTCCGGTTCCGGTTCCGGTCCGGTTTTCCGGTTCTAAATCTCATCCCTAGTGTGACTTGTAGGCAATGTGAAATCTCAAACTTTTACGAGTCGTGGCGAACCATTTCCTTTATAAGGTGTGATTTGAGACGATAATTTTATATATATATATATATATATATATATATATATATATATATATATATATATATATAAAAGGTGTGATTTGAGACCATTATTTATTTTTATATACATATGACTTGAGGCGAAATATCATTAAGGCGTGATGTCATGATGCGCCATGACGAAGTGACGATGAACTTTTTAGAACCTTGCAAAATGCCAAAGACATCTAGAAAAAGAGTAAAATATAATTACTTTAGTATGCACATTTTGTTCAATAATTTTCTTTTTCTCTCTAACAAACAGAAAAATACTACAGGGATTGTATTTTACACCATAATGACCATGCATTGGGCAATAAATAAATTAATGGGCCACGGACCAAAATCACAATAATAAAAATTTATCAGACCTGAACTTTTTTGGACTTTAATAAAAAAAGAAAAATGAAAACCAACCCATAGGGGGACTACTTTTGTGGTTTTCTCTAAAAAAATAAGACTGGAGAGTTTTGGTGCAAAACACATTGAAAGTATGGCTCCAAAAGCGTGAACTATAAAAAGGTATTTTCGCTCTTAATTTCCCATCTCGATTTCAAAAACCTCTTTTCCCTTTTCCCCCTTTTCCTCGTCATAAACCCTAACCTAGCACAACCTACCAAAATTCTTCAAGAATCACTCAAATCAAAGAAATGGGTATTCATCTTCTACCCATATTCATATCCTTGCTGTTCACTACCCTGCAATCATCATCATCAGCATCATCACAGCAATCGATTTACGACGCTCTTAGTTCAAATGGTCTCCCAATCGGCCTCCTCCCGAAAGGAATCACAAACTTTACAATCGACCCATCAACTCAACGATTCGAAGTCCATTTAAACAGATCATGCAATACCAAATTCGAAACCAGCGTTCGATTCGATTGGAACTTCTCCGGGTCTCTAAGCTACGGTCAAATCTCTAATCTCTCCGGAATCGCGGCTCAGGATCTTTTCCTTTGGTTTCCTGTTCAAGGCATCCGTGTAGACGTTCCTACGTCTGGTATCATTTACTTTGATGTTGGTGTTGTGTTTAAGCAATTTTCTCTCTCTTCGTTTGAAACCCCCAGAGATTGCACTGAATTCGACGACGTTGATGCTTCCAGAACTGAACTAACTGTACTTAAGGATCATACTCGCGGCATTCAGGTTAGCTACTTTCTATAAACCCCAACATTCTTCAAATTTGTACACTTTCACTCTTGAGATCACGAAAATCACTCTCCAAAAACTTAAAAGTCGATTGGATTTCATAGCAAGATGCATCGAATTTATTAAAAGATTGTCATACACGCATGTTGTATCTTCCCTTTTATAATCCAAGTACAAAATATATTTTAGTTAGTCACTAAACTTAGGAAACTGGTTATATTGGTCATCTGGTAATCAGGTGTTTTCAATATCTTCCTCTCACCTAGTTGATAAAGTGTTTGTTTGGTCACCTAGTTGGAATAACTTGTTTGTTTAGCAACCAAATTGACATATGATCGAGCCAACATGCGATTTTTGAATCTTGAACACGGTTTTTTTTTTCAACCCCCAAATCAACAAGAATTATCAATTTATTTTCAAGAATTTTGTTAACTATATCTGGCTATAAAGAACTAAAATAGAAAAAAAAACTTGGTTGGAATCTTTAAAATCAAAAGTGGACTTATATTTTATTGGTTCGATGGGGTACATGAAGATAAAAGTTTTGCACCAGGTTTTATTTGAAAGTTTTTTGAGTTTAGTTTGGAATTTTTTATACATATTGGGGGAAAAAGAAAAACATGGGGTTAAATATCATTTCTTTATTGCAGGACAAAAGTGCAAAGCTTATTAAACAGCATGGTGAGGGGGATGAACAGAGGGCCATTGCATAACTTTTAGAACAAACAGTCAAAAGATTTGAAGAGTGTCTGGATCGATAATTCTAACTTGAGTTGGGTATTGTTCGGTTTTATTTCTGAGTGTAAAGATGACAGATTAGAAACATGATTGTGTATGATGTGTTTGTTCTTGAATGACTTAGTATGGTGGTATACATGTACATGTAGTCATGTGTTTTGTTTGAAGATTGGGGTTGTGTAATATAGTAATATTAGTAAGTGAATGAAAAAAATATAGAATGCTATTGGCTTTATTGAATGTACTGGTTGTATTGTGATGTTTAAGAGTAACAATTTTAATCTGCCAAAAAATATGGTGACTTTGGGCACTATTGTGTGCAAGAACACGTATTCAGCATAAGTGGATTTATTTCATTATTTGTAGAGGTGGTAAAAGTGGCTGATTGGTGCAGTGAAAGTATCATATGGAAAAAAATATAGTGACATACTTTTGGATCCATCCATATTATGGAATTTGATTAAAATATTGATTAGAGATAAATTTGTATTATTTTATTGACTTATGTAAAGTAGTTTAGTATTTTATATGAAAAATAAAAAAGTTGGGTGAATTATGTATTTTGGTGATGTTTTGTATTAATATAAATTGCAAAATAGTTAAATTTAGTGACTTATATCGATTACAAGTGTATAATTTGCTTCGAAATCTAACAATATCTAGGGTATTTAGTTCAATGAAAATTGATATGTAGTTTATAAAATTCTTGTGGATTTGAACATCTGTAAAACTTTATAATTCAACAATATGATGTACAAAAAATATGAACTTTGTAACGTGGATTTGAACATCTGTAAAACTTTATAATTCAACAATATGATGTACAAAAAATATGAACTTTGTAATGTAAAGAAATATTTGAGTGCTATAATATAAGTATGTAACGAAATATAAAAAACGGATTTGGGACAAAAAATATATTATGTTTGATATATGTCCGATTACTGTAAATTTATATCATTAAATAGATAAAAATTAGATGGTCCACTGATTATATCGGAGTAATATGTAATAAAAGTTATGATATAAAATCAAATATAGCAGTTTGAATAAAAATATACATATAAAAACATATTAAAAAATTGTTAAAATCATCATGTTGTAAATTGTTAGTGTTTACAATTATTTATAGATAAAAAGAAATAAAAATAAAAAACAAATCTAGCTAATATTAAGGTTTTTTCCCAGATTTGGGTCAAAATTAGTCCCCCACCAAAAAAAAAAAACCCATCAATTTTACAAGACTTCATTTGAAAAATACTTGTTTTACCTACAAAATTGTCAAAACGACCTTTTGAATATATATATTTTTTCAAGTTTGACGTTTTGAATATATTAATTTTTTTTTCGTAAAGTTTGACTTGCAAAAATTCAAAAAAAAATCATTTATTTTTCCCAAGGTAGGAAATTTCAAAGACAAATTTCATAGCTAATATACATGCAAAAACTACAATATAGAAAATTTTCCAGGGATGACCTGCAAATGTCTAAGTTTTTTTTGGTCGAAAAATCATTTTTTTTTTTATTTGTTGTGTAAGAAATCTTCAATGACCATTTTCACAGAGAAAATAAAAAGGTTTATATTGTAGTTTTGGTCTACAAAAATATAAAAATTTTTTTTCAAAGGTTCGAAAAAACCATTTTTATAACAAAAAAAACTTTATATTATAATTTCGACCTACAATAATACAAAAAGAAAAAAAAAACCTTAGACTTGTTTGACATGTGAAATTACTGTTCACATGTGAAAATTGTGGTTCTTTTTATATTAAAAATCTTCAAAGACCATTTTTTTAATAAAAGAAAACTTTAGATTACTAAAATGAAATGTTAAATTGAGAAATATTTTACCAAATATATGATATAAAAATGAAATTTATTTTTTTATTTTTTTATTTTTTTATTTTTATGGATGAGTAGACGACTACTCACGGGGCATAATGCATTCATGCCCATTTCAGAACCCATATAACCATTTCTCAGCTCATTACCTGGAAAAAAGTAAAAGTGTTCGCCTAAATATTTTTAAAAAGTTAAAAGGACTGGTTTAATTTATCTTTATTTATATGTTATGCTATATATAATTGATGTATAACTCAAATCGATAGCTAAGTGTCAAATAAATATTATAGTAATACGATAATCAAAATAACCGAAACTCAAAAACAAAATCCATATCAGATAATTTGGTAGGAAATGAATAATGGTGACCCCTTAAGTGGACCTGAAATTTAAACCCGAATAGCCGATCCATAACATGAACCCGTAACCACATGGAGGGCAAAAAGTTAGTTAAGCCTGATTACGTGGCATTTCCACATCCCAGCATACAAAATACACATTATCCACTGAAAAAGAAAAAAGAAAAATCCAAATCCAAATGACAAGCAGAATGCGAAGTTACAGAGATGACAACTGCGACTGCTTCCGCTCTACCATCCGTTTCCCTTAATCCCTCCATCGCCACCGCTACTCTCCGCTCCGGCACCAACCATGTCTCCGTCTCCACCCGCCGCCGCCGTCTTTACCCAGTACGAGGTTTAATTTTTGATTACTTTTCCTAATTTTACGTCCTTATCTATCTGCATTCCTATCGTAATAGAAATTAACCCCTAAATTATCTACTGCAGTAGCAAATGAATCGAAAACAACGGAGGTATCTCCCGATCTTATAATCGGAAAGTCAGAAGCTGATAAGATCGTGGACGGAATTGACTTCGGTGAGCTCTGTAATGATTTCGAATGCATTAGCAGTCCGGCTGTTGAAGCCACCGCTAGACAGCTTGTACGTGACATCTTAGAACTCCGGGATGGCAATCGTGCTCTAGGAACATACGCTGTTTCAGTCAAATACAAGGTCCGATTCCGATCATCAAATTTTCATTTGTTCATATAATCTCCAACCATTTTTTTTTTCATTATAAATTAATCACTTTTACATGAACTACAGGATCCAGTCAGAAGTTTTACTGGTCGTGAGAAGTACAAGAGACCATTATGGTCGATCAATGCACTAGATAACCCTACTGTGGTGAGGATCATCATATACTATTGTTATCTTATCATTTCTGTTCAAAATTTCAAATGCGAAATCGTTTCCAAAATCTGTTGAATTGCAGAGTGTGCAGGAGATGTCGATGTTGTCTACAAGTGTATTGAGTATAAAGTGGACACTGAAAGGAAACCCTAAAAATGTTGTAGCTGGTGTAGGAGGACTTGTGATTCTAAAAGTCAACTCTCGGTTTACATTGAATCAAATTAGTGGTCAAGTTATTGAACATGAAGAGATTTGGGATTTATCTTCATCATCAACAATTGTTCAAGCATATTTCTGGGCTTCACGTCGTTTATTTTCTGTCTTTGAATCTACAAAAGATTTTTCTGATTCTGTCAAGAACTTGTCCAGCCGCTTTTCATCAAAGAAAGAAAATTTGGAGATTTATCCAGATCCCTCTGGTGATCCATTGAAGGTACTTTTTTTCTGCAATAATGTTATGAATAAATAAAGATGTTTATAAATTTTGATTATTCGTTGGATAATTAATATGACTTTCTATCTTCATGTGTGTTGTAGTTTTTCCAAAGTGAAGATGAGTTTCAAAGAGACGCATACCAACTGGCATTGTTTCTTGCACTTCTGTACTTCCTTGTGCAGTTTTTGAGGACAACTTTGTAAAATCACTGTAAGTGAAATATAAACTGTGTAAATGTGGTTACATATACGTTATATTTTCCATATATATAGAAATTTTCTGCAAGAATCCCTTTACGTTGTATCAAACTTTGATTGTTGATCAATAATTTCCGTCTGTATAAAAAAGTTCAACTTCTAACGTCATATTCACATATATGTAACATATAAAAATCAAGACATGAAGAATAATGATGTCATAAAATTGCAATACAAAAATCATATCATGTACTTTTGAATCAATGTTAAGGCTTATGGTATAAGTTCATAACTAAATAAGAGCAAAGGTGAAGCCAGAATCTAAGAATAAGGGGGGCTTATGGCCTGACGTCCCAATAATATATATAAATATAATGTTATATTCGAATAAAATAATATAGTCTAAAATTTTATAAGAGACATTAAATTTATGGTTTTTTTTATTATGATTATAAAAATCCAAATTACCAATCATAATAATATAATAATTAAAAATTACAAAAAATGTTAAGAATACAATTAAATTTAAAATATACTTTATCTTATTAATAAATAGAAACTTGAAAGAAGCACCGTAGCAGAAAGCTTTTATCATATTTTCTTTAATTGTGGATCGGTTCGTCGTTTTCTTTTAATTGGATATTGATATTTAAGGTGGGGCGATAAGTGATTATGCACTAAGGTGGGGTGATAAGTGATCATGCACATAACATTATTAAAACATAGGGGTCAACGGGTTTTTCTCACAACCTATATAGACTTAGTTATATAATTTATAATTTGATGGGTATATTTGCACTTCAAGTAAAATGGTTGGAGGGGGCGGGCTTTTCTCACAACCTATATAGACTTAGTTATATAATTTATAATTCGATGGGTATATTTGCACTTCAAGTAAAATGGTTGGAGGGGGCACTGCATCCGGCAGCCCCCCTACTAACTCCGCCTCTGAATAAGAATCCCAACTCTCATATATGTGAGAGCTATCAGTGAGTCCATTTATAAATTAGGTAAACGTGTTTTTTATTTAATTAAAAGCTTATAATATAAACATTTACCTCGAGGGTGTAGCTAAGTTGGTTCCATGGCGTCATGGCGACATGTTTGGCGTTTGAGATGAAACACATGATCCGAGTTTGAGGCTTGTCAATGGAATTGTCGGGAGCTTCCCCCTACTTGTAGTTGCTTGGAGCCTTGCTAATAGGTTCATTTCCTTAGTTTCCTCTATTGGAGATACACATGTCCACACAACAAGTTAGAGACACTATTAATAAGTACACATGCCAATTGGGTTACACACAAGGCTCAATCCAAAAACATGAAATAATTAAAGTAAATTATATGAATAGTCCATCGTGCAGGTGTCAAAATGCACGTTCAATCCCTATTTTCAAAAATTAACTCGGACTATCCATCGTTTGTTTAAAACTTACATGTTTCGTCCCTAATATTCGGTTTTGTTGCGAATTTAGTCCATGCCGGATCTTAGACGGCCATAATGCTCTTTGTGTATTTCTTTTCCAATTAATTTAGAGTTATTATTATTATTTTTAATTTAAAAAAAAAAGAAATATAACCCCACCCATCCAACATTATTAAATTCTTAACCCAATATCCCTTTCTCTCTGTATCTCTCTTTTCTCTAGACACCATCACCATAATTATTCACCACCACCGCTAGATTTCTGAGCCACCACCGTATTCACTTCCTCTAGTGAGCCGCCGTCACCTACCACCATCTTACATCTTTGTCTAAAACCCTAAAAAACCCACCTGAAGTCTCTATTGCCATAAAAAGCTTCATTGTTCACAAAAGCCTTACCTTCTTTGGATCTGTCACGTGGGTCGTGACTGCCTCCTTGCTCGAGAAGGTACCGAAGCAAAGAAACAGTAAACTCACACACCTTGTGCGCCGCCATCTCTACTGTTCGCATCAAACCCTATAGTCGTCATCACCGTATGTTTGCCTGAAAACCTTCGCCTTCTGGATCGACTGATTGGGGAGAACAAAGAACCACAAAAAACCAAGGTTGTAAAAATCGCTCGATGTTAGCTAGTCGGTGGACTGGGGTTAAGGGATTAACGGCTAGGTGAGGATTAATCGAGAGATTAAGCAGGGACCATAATTTGCTAATTCGTTGAATTTAAAAAAATTAAATATGACTAAAATCATAGCAAAGTTTGTAAATACCACTAATATCACAACAAAATAGGTTAATATGATTAAATGAATATTAATGATTCATTAAATAGTTTCTATTGAGATAGAAATTTTTCAAAGTGTTAAAATCTCATCGTTGCTACTGCTTCGCTCATTTTGTAGGCATAGATTAATCGCTAGACGCATTCAAGTCAGTTGGGTAGCGCCTAGGGATTAATCGAGACCTAATAGAGATTTTAACAACACTGTAAAAAACACACATACACATGTGTGTGCAGATGCGATACCGAGAGAGAGACGAAGAGAGGCAAGAGAGACGGAGAGATAACACGATGGCGGAGTAGCAGTCTTCATCCCCTTCAAACCAACGTCGACGTCCCCATCAGACCACCGATGTCATCCCCTGCAAGCTTCAAGAAACCCCTTTCCCAGGTACTATACCTCGTCTCCTTCTGCATCTGCAACACCCCAACTGGAATCCTGACGAAATCTGCTCCGCCGGTGGGTAGTGACTGCTAGGGTTATGAATCAAAAAGAATAGAGAACAAAAGGTTTTCTGGGAGGTGATTGGTGGTGGTATTGGCTGGGTTGGCTCGTGATCAGAGTATTGGAGTGGATCGTAGATGTCGTCGGAGTCGCCGGTGATGGTAGATATAAGATGTACCGAAGAAGAAGAAGAAGAGTGGGGGTGGGGTGGGGGACGAGTTATCAATGTGCTTAGGGCCCATTTATTTTTTAAAAGGCAATAATAATTATTTTTGATAATAAAAAAAATCAATAAATAATTAATAAATAACAAATAAATAGAAAATAAATCAAAAAATAAATAAATAAGGGCAAAAGAGTCTTTTTATGTCCGGATGGATGAAGCATGTAAGTTTTAAACTAATGAGGGATGGTCCGAGTTAATTTTTGAAGATAGGAACAGAACGTGCCTTTTGGCACCTACACGAGGGACGTGTCGTATAATTTACTCAAATACATAAATACACAGTCTGGTTTATTATTCATAAAGAGTTAATGGTTTAATTAGAAGCTAAAAAAGATGGACTTATTTTGTAACAAGTCAAGGTTTGAATTTTGGAAGATAGTTATATTAAGATGATTATCTTAATTAGATAGTTACCAAAATTAAACCTAGCTAGGAGAGGAAGTAAATATCTAGTTGTATATAAGCATCCAAATCCTTGAAAGTCGGGTGAATTTCATTCACCATCTCTCTTCCCCCCCCCCTTCCTTGACGTTTGAAGACACACCAACCCTTAGGGTTTCGTCACGTGCTTGTTCTTCAAGAAACAAATAAATACTTGCTTACTTTTCTGGATTACTGATAAATGAATTCTACATTGGACCTCTTTGTGGTTTCTTCTTGACCATCAAAAGGTAAACACATTCTCATCTGTTAAAAAATATCAAAAAGTAAACACATAAATACACAACTTTATTATAGTTTAACATATGTTGCGTGAATAATATGAACATTGATCCAAGGCTTGATCATGATATCTTTGAGTATATGCTTCTATTGCTTGTTTTGTTTATTAAATTCATATAAGCATCAAGATTTGACACCTCTAATCTTAATATATTGTTGGATTGGATACCTGATCTACCTACACAATGAACTTAGGTTTTCAATGTTAGGGGTTCAAAGGATAAACACATAACTAAAGATGCAAAAAGACAATTAAGTACAAATGAATAACATGGTTCACATGATGAAGGTAATAATGTTATATCTACAGGCGAACTAGAGAGGTATTATTAACTTCACAACATTAAGGTTTACAAGATACATGAGAACTATATATATCGGGACAACATCTTATACATATATATATATATATATATATATATATATATATATATATATATATATCTATGTTCTGTGAGACAAGGAATTCTTAGAAATATACGTAAGGGAAAAATGACTTTCTGCAAAACTGAAAAACCTATAAATATAGGTATGTGAGTATGTGATGATTTATGTTTTTTAATGGCTGGTTAGTGGTTAGAACTCGAGACCTCTAATCTAAGAGGTAAAGCCTCTACTAAGTGGGTTAATCCTATTTAGTTTGGTAACAAACATATAAAAAGGAATATATTCCTCATACCATGGATATCGTTTCAGGCCACCTCCTTGACCTAACTTGCTGATGATTGAGATCCAGGGCGATGCCTGTTGGAACCAACAAGGGGTGTTGCGTATGGACCTCTTGTTCTGTAGATTACATTACCTTATACAAACATGGACTCTACACCTCATGAACTTGTAATACAATACAAATTGAGCTTAAGGTGTCTCTAATTAACCTCGAGCACACTAATCAACTCGATGACATTAAAATCACCGACATGTAATCTTTGGACTCTAATATGTAACAATCTGTTTTGGGGACAAAACTTTTGACCTTTTATGTAAAAATAAAAATTTGGAAAAATAAATAAATAAATAAATTAATAATAAGTACTTTAAAACATTATTATTATAAGGTGAAAATTTCAAATTTAAAAGATCATATAACCGGCATATTTAATTCTTGGGGACTTAACTATGATGAACATAAGTAAATAGTGTCTTAATACTTAAAATAAGAGCTTATGGAAGGTTTTAGTGAGTTTGGGTAACCATTTGACTAGAAACTTGAGTGGAAGGAAATAGTTGACATCCCAAAGTTTTAATATAAACAAAATACATTTCTTCGGAAATGCTTTGATAATATCTTTATCATGTTTTCTGGGAACAAATTCCTAAATATTATTCTTTTAAAATGGATAATCTGATTTTAAATAAGCATAAATAAAATTTTTAAAATGACCGTGAATTTGGGGATGTCACTTGGTATCAGAGCATTAGTTTAAGCGAACTAGGAATTTTAGGAAATTTCTAGACTTAAACTTAGAATGATAAGCGATGATTGTGAGATGAGTGTCTGCTATATTTAGGAAGTATGCCTGAATAGATACGAGCAATAACTTATTTAGGGAAGATGCCTAAAATGCTTTTATGTACTAAATGATTTATGCTATAAGATGCCTTATATGATTTATGATGCTATCGTTTGATTGGATCTATGACCTATTTCCAACCGAATCTGGAAATTTTATGTGTTCAGATTTCTAAACGTTTAATTACGGTATTAGAACTGTCATGTAACTTTTCAGAGTAATAAAGAGGATTACGTGTCTAAAACCTTCTCTATCTTAAATTTATCGTATTGAACAACTATTACAGTGTATGGAACATCATGATAAGGACTCGTACCAGACTGAACAAATAGAGGAAATAAGAAAGCTGATGATAGTGAATGATACCTATCAGAAGATACCGTAAGAGAGGTATCTTGCCTTTAGAATGCGTCTAATAAATAATACATCTAGTACGGAAGAAGTACACTTTCGATTGGCAGAAAGAAAGAAATTTTAGTATAATCCATGAAGTTATCCCATCGTCTGACATTTCCACCACCAAATGAGTAGAATCAGAATTGTTGTTAAAGATACGCACGGAAGAAGTCCTAGTAGAGTCTAGGGAAATTTTTATGATTTCTTGGACACATTCATATGTGTTAAATCGTTTTGTGATTTTAGGAAATAAGAACTTGGGGACTGCGAGACAATACTTGGGACGAGTATGAGTAGGTGTGAAAGGTAGTAGAGGCCTATACTACCGGAAACACATGACTCGCACTTGGATAAGGGAAAGTCACAAGGTTACCAAGACGCTAGTAATTGATTCTGTTTGATTCATGTCTGTCGTTACCATCATTTCGGTAATGACTAAGAAGATGATTGTTATTCCGAACCTAATGGTCATATCAAATCGAGTCCGACTAAGATGAGTATGTTACGTGGTTTAGAGAACCAAGTTCGATGTAGTATCCGACTTAATCCAGAAGATTTAAGTGAAAGATAATCGAAGCGATCAATAGAAGTATCGCGATCACCGTTAAAGTAAGAAGCTTGTAGATAGAAGTGCTACATGCTAGAATGTGATTATATCACATTAGAACATGAAGGAAGGTATATTCCTAGGGGTGGGAATTGTTGACACGACACGACAAAAATACACGACACGAAACGAAATTGGGACGAAACTGAAATTCGAATTCGTGTTCGTGTCGTGTTCGTGTTAAGTGTAAAAAACACGATGTCGTGTCGTGTCGTGTTCGTGTTTAAAAATCGACACGAAATTGACACGATTTAGCATTTATTTGTCGTGTTTTTCGTGATTGTCGTGTTTTCCGTGTTATGTATGATTAAATATTAATTAAATAAACTAATTTTTTATTATGTTATCTTTACCGTGTCGTGTCGTGTTTGTCGTTTTTTAATCGGTTCGTTTTCGTGTTAGTTAAAAAAAACACGACATCGTGTCGTGTCGTGTTCGTGTAACATAAAACCTTATCGTGTCGTGTCGTGTCAGACAAAAACACGACACGATGGCCCGATTTGCCACCCCTATATATTCCATTCTGGAATTCGACTCTAAAATACCTGAGTCTAAGCATTGCATCATACGATGAGAGGTCATTAGAACATGACACATCGGTCTGTTACGATAATCGAAGTAACGAACCTATCTTAAGTTAAGTAGGAGTCTCCAATAAGGATCAAGTTTGTAACTCGAATGTTACAATTGAAAGTCCAACATAGGATAAAGAGCGGATGCAAGATTGAGCACCACCAACAGTCAAGAAGTCCAAGAGTTAGAAACTCGTTAGAAACGACATAAGAGTTATGGTTATTACTTAGGATGAAAAGATAACGTATGGAGTCATTATACAAGCCCTGTTTCGTTGATGATTTTGGGACGTAATCATCCTAAGGGGGAGATATTTGTAACGCTCGCAGATTCGGGCTAGTCAATTTAAAGACAATAAACGTCAAAAATGACTTTTTGATAGAAGATTATTTAGAGTAAATAATCTTAACTAAGTTGTAGTATATGTCACAAGGGTTCCGTACATATAAAGAACGCTGAAATCCGAGTTATAACGAAGAAGTTATGACTCGTCGAAGTTTTTCGGCTAAACCAACACGACACCACGTAACGTAAAAAGTGAATTTTTGATAAATTAATTTTTAGCATTAGGGATCTAAACTAAAGTCGTAGTAGACACTAAACCGAGAACATACATAAAAAGAACGTCCAAATAAGACTTCATATGAGGAAGTTATGATTTTTTTAAGATTTAGCGTAACAGTGCACAGCCCGAAATTCGAATTGAAGATCGATTGATTTTTAGCCGACACAATCTAAACGAGATTCGAAGATCTCGTTAATAGGAACTCAACGATATAAAGACAGACGAAAACGGACGTCGGATGACAAAGTTATGAATTTTAACGGACTTTATATGTCTAAGCCTGTTAAAATATAACTTTAAAAATAAAGTAAAAATTAGCCGACGGAGTCTAAACGAAAGTTGTATATCACGTCGCTACCTACACGTGGATATGAAGAACGTCGAAAATGAAGCTCATATGCAAAAGTTACGGAATTTAGAAGTTTATTA